TGTATTTAAATGAAGTGTACCAGAGTTCTCAGTAATGGAAGTTTTGAATCTGAGCTGTGGGAAGCTGCTGAACAGATCAGGTTGACAACATGCCTGTGTGCCCATGGGATCTCATCAAACCAGGTGGCTCAGGTTTCTTTCGGTATGACAGGGCATTCTTGAAAAGCTACCGTACGGCGGCCCGCAAACACAGGCTTTACCCACAGACGACGTGTGTGTGTGTCAGCAGCTCCTCAGTTATCCTCCTCCAGTTTCCTTCACCCTGAAGGATTTAGCAGATTACGCTCTCATCTTTTCCAAAGCATTTTTCCCATACGATCGAGCAAATAGGGAAAAAAGGAGGGCGGAGCCTACACGTATTTACCAGCATGTAATGGACATTAATGCATTTCCAGAAAACGGGTCAAACCAGACCAGACCAGACGGGATGGAAATGTTTATCCAGACGTCAGAGAGGGTCTCCCCCTCTGCAGCAGACGGTCTATAACACAGGCAGACAACACAATACACACTGTTTCCAACAAGAGCTTCCAACATCGCTGTTAACCCAAGTGTGTCTGGCTTTTCACTTAGTGCTCGCAAAATGGTTAAAGCAGCAACGCTGTTCAGTGGCCGTCTGTTGATCACTGTGAGAGCGTGGGTTTGGGCTGGGATGTGTCTCTGTGTTAGTGACGGTTGGAAGGAGAAAAAAATGTATAGATTATTAGAGGGTCATAAAAAATCAGATCATTCCAGGTTCCCTATAACAGTTCAATATGCAATGAATGGAGCAAAAAAAAAACCTCAAAAAACCCAGCTGCGTTAGTAAACCAGTAAGTCAAGGAGCTGCAGTAGAGCAGCAGTGTCAAATTCGAAGATGCTGGAAGGATAGAGAGATATAAACACAGAGAGAGAGAGAGTGCACAGATCTGTGAACAGATTGAAAAATGGACAGGACCTCTGGACAACAGAACTCCCATTTCTTCGGAAGCTATAAATTCACAAGTATAGGTTACAGCAGTCAGGCATGTGTACAACAGTACGTGATGATATATGGCCTTCTGGGTATGAAAATAACTTATACACGGTTAAGGAATGTGTTTTGCAAAGTGAATTGGAGTAGAAAATGAGAGGTCGTTTAAACTAATGTAGACTTATGGCCAGTGCTTTGAAAACAATGTGTACAGACTGTACTGCATGACCTTTAAAGCTGGGTAACAGAAGAGAAGGTGTGGTTTATGGAATAACGACTTCACGTCTGCTGTAACGTGTTTGTCTTTAATCTGCCTCCTGTTTGACATGTTCGTTTTTATAGTCACCGTTTAAACAGCGTTGTAACTAATGTCAGTGGAGAAAAGAGAAACATCTTCTTATTTGTTCAGAACATTTAGAACCCCAGGGAAGTGTTTTTTATGGTTGACAAAATAAAATGGTCAATGAGGAAAGTGCGGAAATATTCGTTTCCTGTCATTTTCCGCTCACATTGAACTTTACTATTTTGTCCATATACATAAAAGAGCACGAAGTAGCAATAAAATAATATTACACAGGAACATATTTGAACTGAAAGATCATGATTTGAATGGTCTTTTAGATGTGTGTGTGACTCAACAATTCAAAAACTACTGAAAATGTTTTAATGTGAAACTCATTTCAAACTCAATGTGTTAATGAACCCATACCTAGGGCACAGCCTGCAGTTATTATGGTGTGATATATAACTGAATCATCCAATAAAGGTCTTTATTAGAGATGTCCAATAATATTGGCCAACCAATATCATTGGCTGATATTAGCATAGATATGTAATATAGGTAAAAATTGTTATTGGTTTTTGGTTCATTATTTTGTATGTGAAAAATCATAGTTTCTCCGTGTCATATGAAGTCCCACCTGTGTTTATTTTTCTTTATTTCTGACCTAGAAATCATTGACATAAATCACTAACAAGCCCGTAATTACCTCCTACACCACCAGGGCTGGCTGTAATGCTACCAGATGTCACAGGCACCTCTGAAATAATGACCTTACACCTTTTTCTCACTGATGGAGTGATAAATGCATACAAGTTTTCCCCTGGGTCCAAAAGAAAAAAAAAAGTCTCCAAGGACTTAACTCCAGGCCTGGAAGCCTCTGCCAGGTGTGAGGGCCTGGAGAGGGGCCCGAGCGCAAGCCCAGCAGACTTAGAATAAATACTAACATCACTGAGGGAGCGCTAACTGACCAGGGCTTTATGAAGACAGGAGTGAAAAAAAATAGGGTTAAAAAAAAAAATCAGACCTGGAATGGTGGAGCCTGAATATCCAATAAACTAAAGTGAAGCTGTGGCTGGGAATTTGCTCTTATTAAAACATTACTGTGCTGTGTGTCACAGTTTTTAAACATTAAAGGGCCAATATTTCTTTGTTGATTGGCACTTTATTGTGACACAGAGACTTGTTGTCGGAAAGACATCCGACTTCTTCGAGCTGGTCAGATTAAGAAGATTAAAAGAGGGGAAAACTGAACAGCGTTTGATCCAAAAGCAATAACCATTAATGCTCTCGTCTCCGCCCCCTCCCTGGCAGCGTGTGTGAAAATTTCAGCGACCTAATTTACTCCCCTCCAGGGGAACCTTACGACTTAGCTTAGCATGGAACTCTTCAACAGTGAAGCAGCCAGGTCTACGTATACATTTCTGACCTATCCCGTTGCGTTCCAGCACATGCTCCACTGGTGTTCTCCAACACACGGCTCACAAGGGAGCGCGATGGACTACGTCCCACGTTTCCTCAGTCGGTCTGGAGAAATTAGGTTAGGGGTTGAAACAAAGGTGAGGCAGGTTAAAAGGCCTGTGGGGAGAGTGACAGCTCGGCTCAGTTCCTCGTGTTGATGTGTGGACGCACAGGGGACGGCTGGAGTGAGATGAAGAAATGAATGAATCCATTAAAGAACGAAGAGAGCTCACAGAAGTGAAGGCCCAGACACAGATGTTTTATCAGGATTCACTGAGGCGTAAAGAATGGGGAAAGAAATGGGGCAATGAGGACGGGAACACATGCAACAAGTGGTCTTAATCATTCACAGCCAATGACACCAACAAAGCTAGCATGACATCAGGTCCAGAGTTTCCTGTTGATTTCCCCTTTTCACAGAGCTTTTGGCAATTTAACTGCAGTGATTTATCTATCGGAGTCAGACGACAGGGCAGGTTCAGACTGACAACGGTGGTCCAGACGTGGATCCTGGTCACGTTTATTACCTGACCAAAGGAAAGCACTCGATTGCAGCAACCGTCTTTCCTTTTCACTTCAGAAACGGTCTCAACCAGAAACGTTAGACATAGAGTTCACACTCAATGTGGCATCGTCAGACCCAAACATGACAGAGCCTGATGTGGCCAATCAGACTGTGATGGTCAACCACACAACCATTCCCACTTCAGCATTGTTTTATTAGTAATGATGAGTGAGCTTGAAAACAGAAATGTAATACTTTATGAAAATAAAAAGAAAGGACATAATTATGAGCTCCGGTCGCAAAGAAGGAGAGGATTTCTTAAAATTTCATTTCCTGTTATTTATAGTTATGTGTGTGTGTGTGTTTATTTATATATGTAAGTTAGTCAGTCAAGTGAGACTGAAGACATCACCACTGTGGTATCCCACAGAGAGGTTTTTGCCAGATGCCCTCCCTGATGCATCCAAACCATGGGATTGGGGACTAAATGGAATCAAACCCAGAACCACTCCTACCACTGCATTACTAAGAGTTTATTGGTTGAAGGTTTTGACACTAAAGTACTAGAGTACTTGAAGACTGATATGACTTGTTCATGATTTCACACGGGTAATGTGGTTTAAAAAAAAAGGCTTTGTGTACAGGACTTGTGCCAGACTGATTTGCTGATGTTTTATTTATTTGTGTGTTTGATGATCATTGATTACTTGGCAGGAGAAATATCAAAACTGACAATCTATTTGTCAGTAGACTAATATCTGTGTCCTGTTTGCTGCTCTGAAGTTAACAAATAGCTCCATGGATTAATTAAAGGAAGTTGACACAATGACCACTCATCACACTACCTCCACTAGGGGTGCTCTGTTGTATAATAAAAATTAACGGCTAACTGCTCAGGCCATTGTTTTAAACCAAGTGACAGGTAGCCTGATTTTCCC